AAACCCAAGAAAAATCTAAGACTTAAAGATAGAAAATAAGGTCATTCCTAATATAAAAATGCCTTAAGCAAGTAAACACTTGCTACTGAGTCTCTGAGTACATTATATTCTCCACACAAACAGTGCAAATCCACCTTTAGGCAAGGTTTTCCAGTCTTTTAATAAGATTTGCAATTTCTTGACAACTCATTTTTTCCCCCCAAAGACAGTGGGTGAATCAGGGTAAAGCATTTTTGCTTGCTCTGAAATCAAATATTTGCACATATTTGCAGACAACAAATTGAATACTCCTTAATCTTTTCCCTTTGCTGTGTTGTGGTAGACAAAAAGACTACATTTATGTCAAAAAAAAAGCACTACTGTTTGTTCACTACATGTCACTACACACTCTCCAGTGTAACTATCATGTCAAGTAGCACCATATGCATCTGCACAGCTCAAATTTTCACAATGGACTATGAAAAAGTTAGCAAATGATCATAATCATCAACCACTGTAAACATTTATCATCACCTTTTTGAAAAGTCCAAAATGCCAAGTGGCCCCATATACACACTGCAAAATAACTTTTAATGCATCTTAGGATGCTTTTTGCAGCTCTCCAACTGTACTATACAATCAGCATTTCTGTATTTTCATGACAAAGGCTTATTTAACAAGTTGCCACTACTAAGTGACTTGAAGGAACAGTTATGAATCCTACAGTCACACACTCAGACTTGACCTTGGTGAGGATGGTTCAGTCAGTCTGGCTCTCTGTTTATTAGAGTCTCTGCTCAGTCATTCAGAGTCCACAGCACATCTGCAGTCCCAGCTGCACGTCTTTTAGGCAGGTTGAAATCACTCTAATTTTTCAAACTGATTATTTTGCATTAGTAGCTGAAAAGATTCCATTAAAAGTTCGAAGAGAAATTTGAGGCCTCTCTTAGTTTGGAGTTCTGCACAAACATAAACTCCTACTATTACATAAAAGTGAGACTTCAGAAGCCTCAGTCTCGTCCGTCTTCCAGCAATATTAAGGGCTGAAAATGACACAGACCTCTCCTTTCTTTTTTTTTTTAATTGTCTTTTGAGGAATAATCTACTTTCTTGTCCTCAGTCCTATCCCACTTGCCTTGGCTTCCAGTTTCCCATGCAGATGGAAAGTCCATCTCCTCCAGTCTTCTCAGAGAAGTTCAAAGTTCTCACCTGAGCTCACAGACAGCCAGAGCCATCCTTCCTTCATAGGTGGGTTAATCTGGACAAACACTTCTGGAAAGTTCTGGTAAAGCCTTTCCCCAGAAATCCAGACTGCCAGGTGGGGAACCACCTTGTTAGGACCTTCTGGATTACAAGTCTTTTTTGGGACTTCACCTTGAGCAAGGTATTCACTGGTATTCATTTTGTAGCTACATGTACTGACATCCACATAATAAGTAAATGCTGTTTATACAGCTATGAACAAACCTTCCCAGAGGGGTCCTGATTTTTTTTTTTAATGTTTTTGTTTGGGTGGGGTTTTTTTGGTTTGGTTTGGTTTGTTGTTTTTTTTAATTCATCCACCCCTTATTTACCTTTCCTAAAAGAACAAAAACAAAAGTAAGGAAAAAAACTGTGCTTCTGCAAGCCTCATTTGAAGTTTGATTTTAGAGCAATAATTCCTGTTTCAGATATGTAATTTAGGACAATCTTTGGCTATTGCAAAGAAAAAATATATTCTTTTATCTTTGTATTTACTTTTTATTTAAGGTTAGGCTTTTTCAGCCTTTGATCTGTAACAAAAATAAGGGCTACCCAGTAGGAGCATTTCTTGTTGTTACTCTGAAAAGACTTTTGATTGATTCATCCTTCTTCTGACTCATGTTATTAACACAATAGAAGCTGGGTTTGAAAAACAGAAAAAGCAATCATTTTGTTTAAGAGATATACTTTATCTTTCTGCAAAATCCTTAATCCATTTTACTACTCTGTTCAACAAAATAAATTTAAAAAAAAACTTAAAACTTTTTTGTGAAGGCAGCAGATAATTAGCAAAGATCTACTGATACTGGTTTTGCTCTCAGCATATGAAAGTAAATTATAATCTCTTGGCTGGATAGTGCAGTTCAAGACTATCCGTAAATATCAAAAACATTATAGTCTGAGCTGACCTAAGTCATTTTCCCATGTTTTTTTTTACAATTAAGAAAGAGATAAAAATGTAGACTTAAGGTTTTCTTTGGAGAAGGTAATTACTGGCATGGTCAAAACACACATTTTTATTTTATATCATAAAAACTAGGACAACTCTTAGTCAAGTAGAAGAAACATTTTTTGGTGTTTTAAAAGAATTTATCTGACTAACAGTGGAAACTCCCCAAGTTAATGTACACCCTACTGCTCTTCCTCTCTTAAATGCTGGATAATCCTGAACCACTTCTTGATACCAGAAGCTGCTCAGGTTATATGACTGTGAAATAACTAATGACTAGCTTAAAAATTATTCTGAACCACCTTCAGAACTTTTTTAAGAGATAGTAAAACCATGGAAGTAAAAACTATTTAAATTCTTGACAAGGCAGAATTCAAAGCAGAGGTGAGGACAGTTCATTTTCTGGTAAGCCCAGGTGTACTTTTCCTCTATGACCTATTAGTTAATCTAGATTCTCCAATTCCTTAAATGTACTTCAACCTGAAATGGTGTAAAGGGTTCTAACATCTCCCATTCAGATCTATTACTTTCATTATTACAGCTGCTCTAATATATAACTCTTGTTTTGCTGTGTTTGCTATATAGAAAGTGTTTACCATAAACTCCACAGAGGAAGTCTTTCCACATACCTCCTTTTTAAATACTTTAGCTTTTAGTGTAATGGAAGTCTGACAAAACCAACTGGTTAAAAAAAAATAAGACATTAAAGAATTCTCAGCTGTGCAAATTGCTGGCTATTGCTAATAAATAATAATGTCACAGATTTCCACCAAAGAACGAGCCATTTACACACGACTGATGCTTTTGCAGAAGTCTGCAAACAGCAGATGAAACCATGTCTGGTTTTCTATTTGGATGCTGCTGTCCAAATACAGATTCCTGAACTGTTGTGTCAGGATTTCAGCCCATCAGGCCTCACAAGCACATAGACACACATCCTGCCTTGCAAACTCAATGCTGGTGAGCTCAGAAGGAAGCCTCACTTAACCTTTATTGGTTCAGAATACCAAAATAAAAAAAAGAGCATGGGAAATAAGCATGCCACACTTGCCCCCATCCTCAAGAATAGCATCAGGTACCATTTTATCTACATATAAAAAAAAATAAAAGAGAAAGACTCAGGTTTTTAATTCCTTTCCTTGTTTCAAGAAAACATAAAAAAAAAGGGGAAAGTTTCACTTGGTGGCACCTTGCTACATCTGATGATCTAGCAAAACGAGGGTTTACATAACTTTCCAGCATGCACAACTTCATTAAGGGTTGCCTGCATAGGATTTTCAAGTGCAGCCTTTAGTAGTAGGTTGGTTGTACCTCAAGTGAATTTCTTTTCCACCCACCCCAGAAACTTCTTCTTACGCTATACTCTGAGGAACATTACTGCCTCCTAAACACAACCCAGCTACAACATCAATAGGATTTTTTAAACTCCAGTAGTATTTTATACTATCACAGTCAAGGAGCTAAAGACACTTTACAGGAACCCATTTGCCAAGTCACATGGGTCATGCACGCAGAGGCTCATATGTCACAGAAAGGTTGAGTTACAGAAAAGTAGAGAGAACCTTGGACAGAGAATTAAAATGGAGACAACAGTTTGAGACCGGAGATTTCTGGAACAAGGATTACTGTGTGCTCTTCTGCTACACAGAAATAGAAGGGGGAAGTACAATTTCAGGATCATTCTGTTAGGAAAGAAGGGACAGCTGTCCTGTAGATCACGACAACCTTTCAAGCCTGGGGCTCCACATACACAGATTTTTCCACAATACTCAGATTACAAATATACATCACCCTTCACCATGTACTAATTTTCAAGAGACTTGGTTACACTATAACTGGGTGGTGACACTGGGGTGTGACATTGGCTTGCTGCAGGCCTGGCCTCACGTGCATCGTTTATCAGAGTACACCATCTCTCCTGTCTCCTCAAGTGAGTTACACCATCGTTTATTAAGCACGTACCAAAATAACCAATGTCACAACACACCGTGTACTGGCAGTGAGGTTCTTAGAGAGCTTCCTACGGACACACGCCCTCAAGGAACAAAGACCTCCGGATAGTGAAGGCCCTAGATTAGCCCTTTAGGATACAGACCCTTCACAGGAGCCAACAGTGCGATCTGCAGAGGCTCACCCAGTGTCTACCCACCACCAGCCAGGTCCAAGCAAGCACCTCCGAAGCCAGCACATGACAGCCATGAAGGCCGAGATCCAATTACACCCTCCAGCTCCGGGCCAGTTCCTCGGGCACAGCCAAGTCCTTACACTCCACTACAGCCTCCCAAGACCCTCAGAAACCCAGGGGTGCGGTCCCACCCCGCCTCCGAGGCGTAGCGGGGCTGAGCTCTGTGCCAGCACAAGGACACCGGTGCCCCCAGTCCCCGGCGCGGGACACCGTGACCACCGTCCCTGAAGGGGCAGGAGCCCGGGCTGGACGCGCCTGCGGTCCCGCCTCTGCCCCACCGTGAGCCGAGCAAACCCACAAGCACCACCGCCTGCCCTGCTAATCCCGCTCGCCGTGCCACGGCACGGAGCAGGAGCTGCGTTAACGGGAGCGCGGCCGCAGCGGCCGCGGGGTGCGCGGAGCCCCGGGACGGTCCCCGCCGCCCGCTCCGCCCGGCACCGCGGCGGGCGGGGAGGGCACCGCTCCGCCGTGCCCTGACCTTACCCCGACTTGGCAGGGGCCGCCCGGGCGCCGGAGCGCGGCGGGCAGCGCTGCCATCGCACCGCCCGCCCGGCTCCGCGCAGGGGAACAGCGGCAGCGCCGCGGGAGGAAGAGAAGGAGGAGGAGGAGAAGGAGGAGGAGGAGGGCAGGCCCGCGCCCGCTCACCTGCAGGGGGAAGGTGGCCGCCTTGTTGCCCACGTAGCCGCGCACGACGTGGCTCTGGATGGAGAGCACCCGGCACTCGGGCTCCATGGCTGCGCCGCCCGCCCTCCCGCCCGCGCCGGGCCGAGCTGGCGGCGGCGGCGCCGGCAGCAGGAGCAGGAGCGGGGGGCGGAGCGCGGGCGGCGTGACGCGCTCGCCCTCCCTGCCCGCCTGTCACACACACACACGCGCGCTCCCCCCGCGGGAGGGAGGCAGGGAGGGAAGAGGCGGGGGCACCCCACGGCTCCCCCCGCGGTGGTCGCTGCCCGGCGCTGGGTGCGGGGCGGAGGGGGCGCCCACCGCAGATCCGCCCCCCGCGCTCTCGCCGCGGGTCCCGCCGCCGCCGCCGCCGCCTCCCCCGCGGCGTCACCGGTCACGCGCCCCAGCGGCCGCCCCGCCCGGCGGTGGCACCGGCGACACGGGGCACCGAGCGCGGACGCGGCCCCGGACACTGCACTGGCACGGCGCCTCCTCGCCCCGGCGCTTGGGGAGTCACCGGAATGGGTCGGGTTGGAAAGGGACCACGGCGGGTCGTCTGTCCCAACCTCCCTGCTCGAGGAGGGTCATCGCAGAGCACGCGGCAGCGGGTTGTGTCCAGACGGTTCTGGAATGTCTCCAGGGAGGGAGACTCTCCACCCTCTCCGGGCAATCTGTTCCACTGCAGGGGGAAGAAGTTCTTCCTCGTGTTCAGGTGGAACTTCCTGGGCATCAGTTTCTGCCCGTTGCCTCTTGTCCTATTGCTTGGAACCACTGAGCAGCGCCTGGTCTGTCCTCTGACACGCACCCTTTGGATATATATACACATTAATGAAGTCCCCTCTCAGTCATCTCTTCTCCAGGCTAAACAGGCCCAGCTCCCTCAGCCTTTATTCATAAGAAAGATGCTCCAGTCCCCCAGTCATCCTCATAGCCCTCCGCTGGACCCTCTCCAGGAGTTCCGTGTCTCTGTTGACCTGAGGAGCCCAGAACTGGACACAGTAAATGAGCTTTTTCCACCTGAAAGGAGGTTGCAGTGAGGTGGGGATGAGTCTCTTCTGCCCATGCTCACAGTGAGAGGACCAGAGGAAATGGCCTTGAGCTGAGATAGTGGAGGTTCAGATTAGATAGAAAAAATTTATTCACTGTCAAGGTGGTCAGACATTGGAATAGGCTGCCCAGGGAGGTGGTGGAGTCACCATTCCTGGAGGTGTTTAAGCCCAAGCTGTGGGTGCCCTGACAGGGCACCACCCTCACAGTCGGGTTCTGAAGTGAATGCAATTGTGTGTTATTGACCCAAAAAAAACCCCTTCGGAGGGCTGCCAAAGAGTAAAAGAAGATGTATGTGTTGGCTGGCAAGTGCTACAATATATCAAGACTCTGCTGAGACAGGACTTGATAGTGTGTTTGGGAGTTTTATCTTCCTCTGGCCATTTGTCATTATTGACCATCACAGATCACAATAAGAAATGACGCCTGATGCCTCTTGTTCTTCTTTGTGGATAGCTTTGAATCGACTCTTGAAATAGCGTGATTATTTCTCAGCAAGGTGAAAGAGTATTTTCCTCATCATAAGTAATCTGTTGGAAAATGAGGGAACATGCTGTCCTCTTTTCAGTCGTCACTCCAGTTAAAAAACTTAGGGCTTATTCTAGTCTGGCCTAACTACTAACAGTTGCTTCACCACCTATAAATTTATGCATTTCTTGAATTGCAGAAATCAGTGCATCTCCATGGTGTATAGAGCCAGAACAATGAGGGATCTGCATCGTGTTATACCCCTGCTCCTCTAGCTTGGAGGGAAATTGTTGGAATACAGATCTTGTCCTTTTTTCCTGTGTTTCCTCCCTTCCTCGCTAATAGGGCTTCATGCTCCACTTTGACCTTGTAAGCCTATGATACACCCATACTGGCTTAGGTTCCTTTTGGGAATGACTCAAGATCTGTCTTGTGGGTTCCACAGTGTTGTCAGGTGAGACTGGGCCTCAGTTAAGGCAGTTGTGTAGTGCCATTAATGGTTTGTCTCCGTAGTGCCTGTACCAATTGTATTTCCCCCAGACTGCTTGTACACCTGAGCAAGGAAACTGCAGCATGGGTATCAATTACAGGATTGTTTAGGTTGGAAAAGACTTTTAAGGTCATTAAGTCTAACTTATTAAACCAGCACTGCCAAATCCACCACTAAACCCAGTCCCTAAGTGCTACATCTACATGTCTTTTAAATATTTCCAGGGGTGGTGACTCCACCACTTCCCTGGGCAGCCTGTTCCAGTGCTTGACAGCCCTTTTGGTGAAGAGATTTTTTCTGATATCCAGTCTAAACCTCCCCTGTCACAACTTGAGGCCATTTCCTGTTATCCTATCCCTGTTCTCCTGGGATAAAGTTCTCTTGCTTGCTCCCACACCACATGCTGTTTCTGCAAGCAAGTGGAAAAATCCACTCTATGCAAGATTGCTACTTTCTTTCTAGTATTCTGAAAGGTCCAACAAAGGCAAGTGCTCCTAGAAAACTTTATGCTTTTCCCAGAGGAACATCTGAAGCCTCCCTTTGTACTCTAAGCTGCAAAAATTGAAGTATTTTTAATGAATTAAGGAGTAGAACCTGCACACACAAGAGTAAGCAAAAGGGTGACTCAGCAGTATTAAGTGCCAATGTTTTTCCAACTATGGAAAATACTAAATATACTAAATGGAAAATACTCCATATACTAAAAGAGTTGCCACAAGCAAAGCAAAGGCTAGAAAACAGTTCTCCTTCCCTTCCAGAAAGCAGCTCATCTGAAAGTGTGCACAATTTCTGGGCAGTGTTTTTTTTTAAAGACTTTTTCCTATTTATTCTTTAAGAAGTCAGGCCTCTTCCTCATAATAAAAGACTCTGTGTCCCAGGAAAAAGTGAAGCTTCGATTCCATAGTGATCATGTATCCTGCTATTCTATCGTTCTCAAAAAAATAACTCCCAGGTACTCCTCCAAATCTGGGGATTACTAAGACTATTCGAGGAGCAAATAACCATTCAATGGGTGACAGAAAGCTTCATTGGGAAAAAAGAAAAAGGCAGGGCAGGTTAGATCAAATGCAGGCAATAGAGAAGCTGTCCTAGGCTTCCTACTACAGCTGCTGCAGCAGCACTGTGATGATACCTTTCAAGCTCCTGCCCTGTCAGTGGACTGTGCATGGAGTTTTATGGTGGTTTTTTTAAGGTAACCTGACCACTCAAATCAGATCTCCTTGGTCAGAGCAGACTATTTGCTGGAAATGGTGAATTTTGAGTAGATCATCATCATTTGATCAAGGGAGAGGATAGTTAAAAAGACCACAGTTTGTCAACAACTGGCAATGTTTCTTCCACAAATGTTCCTTGTTCCTCCTGTGCCCTCCTTCTATAACTCGCTGAAATCCCGCTCACATCTCCCCCACTGCTCTGCTCAGCCTGTCAGTAACCACAGAGCAATGCACCCCACGGCAGACCTGAGGCAATAATGCACATGACAAGCATCCAGCCTGCAGTTCTGGGAGATACACATCTTCACCTGCCTTCTTTGCTTCTGGGCAGACAGGACAAACATCCTTATGGGCCATTTGTTGCACAGGCTGCTGCCTTCCCGTGTCTGTGTTGTTACCCTTTGGAATTCCAGCTCACCACGCATGAAGAAATTGTGAGATTACGGCGAATAACAAGCTTAACATGGATCAACAATGTCACAATATTGCAATAAAGGTAATCACCTTTTGGACTGCATAAACAACACTATAGTCTGCCAGACATATGAACTCATCCTTGCAGCCTGCTGAGCACTGGTTGGGTCTCTGGTGAAGCACTGCCGAGTTTTTGGAATGGCATTTCTTTCAAAATGAAAAAAATGGCACAATGGGAGAGGCCGTAAGAAGGATCCAAGGCTCAGGACACACAATATAGGAGGAAATGTTTTCTTTATATTAATGAAAACTCAACTCTATTAGCAGCCTACAAATACATATAACACAGGGCTATGAGGGAGCAGAAGGGAATAAACCAATGTCCATGATGGAGGGCTTGCTGCTGTTTTGCAAAGGATTATGAAACACACAGGAGGAGATTGCTTGGGAAGATTGATGAGGTTTTGTCTTCACTTTGTTTGGTTTTTCATAGCAACTGGAAGAAATATTTTATAAATATTGATAGCTGTATTTAAATTTGTCTTGGAATGGGGAACAGACTTGAATGACCAAGGTCTCCTGAAGCCCAGCTTTTCTATTTCAGCACAATAGAAAAGATATGGAGCTGCCAAGAATATGACACACTGAGCTTGATAAAAGATGCACAGAGAGAAGGTCTTAAATCAGATTTTGTACCTTGCATATGGGTTCTCTAAATCATTGTAGACATTGACAGAAAATAAAAGGTGACAGTTATGTAAAAGTAGTATCAATACCCTCTCCTTTCCTCAAAAAGTCTTCAAGGCAGCAGAATAGGACCAGCAGAGGGTAATAAGTAGAATCATAGAATTGCTTAGGCTGGAAAAGACCTTTAAGATCACTGAGCCCAGCTATTAACCCAGCACTGCCAAGTCCACCACTAAACCATGTCCCTAAGCACCACATCACATTTCTCAGATACGTCCAGGGAATGTGACAGCCACAAGCAGCCTGTTCCAGTGCTCGACAACCTTTTCAGTGAAGAAATTTCTCCTATGTCCCATCTGAACCTCCCTTGTCACAAATTGAGGCCGTTTCCTCTTGTCCTGTTGCTTGTTACTTGGGAGAAGAGACTGACCCCCACCTGGCCACAACCTCCTTTCAGGTACTTGCAAAGGTCAGTGAGGTCTCCCCCGAGACTCTTTTTCTCCAGGCCAAACACCCCCAGCTCCCTCAGCTGCTCCTCACCAGACTTGTGCTCCAGCCCCTTCCCCAGCACCACTGAAGAGTACACCTGACCAGCCAGTTTTTCCAGAAGAATTCTGTGGGAAGTGGTGTCAAAGGCTTTGCTAACATCTAGACAACATCCAATTGTGCATTGCTCAATCAGAAGACCATCTGTATTTTAAGATACTGATTTTTGCTTGTCAGTTCAATGTTTGCTAAGACAGATTGTAAAGCACCAATTTATGATTGTGATAATAACCATAAGCTATTAGCAACATTTGATGTAGGAGGGGACCGTTGTCCTTGTTTTGTGCCAAATTTTCACTTGGCCTGTAGT